TCATGAGAGTGACCGGGGGCGGGTTGCAGAGATCAAAGACGGGGTCCCCTGAGGCGCTAAGCAATTGCTTGCTCTTGGTCGGGGCGAAGAGCGCAACGGTCACGACTTCCGGGTGGGCATCGAAGCTTTCGTATGGCTGCTTGCTCCTAGTCTCAATGTCCGAAGTGGTCGGGCCCCAGATGTAGGCTTTCTTGTCCTCGCTTCCACAAATGACATATTGTGCGTCGTCGCCAAAACGAGCGCTAATCTGGCTAGCCTGGCAGACGTGACCCCTGAATTTGGACTCGAGCATCCTGGTTTTTAGGCTGTAGATACGAACACGAGAGTCGTTGGAGCTAATGAGAACCTTGACGTCGCCCTTCTCAGGCCCTTCTAGAACCTCGTGCGTTCGAATGCCAGTAATTTTGCTGCCCTTGGCATTCTTGCCCCTTGATGAGCGCACATGGATCTGGTTTATGGGCGTGAGTCCTTCTGTGCTGAAGAACATGCACATGCCATTCAACAGACCGCAGATGGCTGTCTTGCCGTCAGGGCTGAAACCCACAGCAGTCTGGAACTCTGTCGTCGTCGTAGAAAACTGAACAGATTTCTCAGGAATGTTCCATAACCGTAGTTGCGAATCGAGGGATCCAGCCAGGAAGAACCGGTCGTCGGTAGGATGGAACGCAATTGAGGTAACCAGGTCATTGTGCTGAAAAGTACAGAGACAGTCGGCACGCTTAGTATGCCACAGCTTGACAGTCTTGTCCATGGACGAAGACAATAAAAAGCCATTCTTGCTCCAACTCAGAGCCAGAACCTGTTCAGTGTGACCAAAGTACTCCCTCACTGGCTTCTTCCGGAACACAGGAGCGCTCAATCGCTCCTCGCGACCGCCCTCCTGTGTCTCGTCCTCCTCATGTGCAAAGCGCTCCTCGGGCGTGGAGATGACTGCGTAGACCCTCACTACCTTGTCCTTCCCGGCAACAGCAAGGTACTTGCCGTCCATGCTGAATTCCGCGGCCCAAATGGCTGCACCGCCCTTCATGAGCTTGTTCCCCATGGCTGTCATAGGTGTGCGACCAGTTCCCCCTTCCTCCTCAGCTTTTGGATCGGTTATGCGCAGCTCCTGCGCCAGGAACATGTGGTTGAACTCGCGTTCTTTCTTGTTATTGCGGCTGACGCGGATATATCGAGGGGGGGCTTTGTGCAAAGGAATGTAGCCACCTCCAGCGCCTCTGACGGCGGTGAAGGCTCGGGCATTGGCGCCTTCGTCGCGGCTACCCCCATGCTCCGAATCGGACTCGAAACCATCCTGATCTCTGGCCCATGGGGTTCGCATGCTCAGACGGCTGAGGAATGATGTCCCTTTCCTACTCCAAGTTAGTATCACCGACGAATAACAAGTACCTCCCCACTGCCACCTTTCCAGAAACCAATTGAAAGGCAAGCCCCCCTGGAGGAACAACGCAACACTCACCTCCAATCCCTGGTGGCATCAACCGTATTTGAAGACTCGCCGGTCTGGGTCGGGTTTGACTCAATCGTTGGGCTTTCGGGGCGGCCGGGGACACGAAGGCGCTGAGCGATCGAGGTGGGCGGCGGCTGCTCGTGACTGTTAGTCCGCATGTAGATGTGCTACACGAGTGTTAGTACAAGGCGATTGCTTGATCCAGTGCTGGTTCCAGGGCGGCCCTTACGCTGCTCAAGGGATCTAGGCCAACGGGGCCAGACGATCCGTTGGACGAGGGTGCTCGGGGCAGGCTCTTAGAGTCGCGGTCTTTGGCATTCTGCGCACTCCCCCGAGAGATTCGACTTGCGGATCGTCTACCGGCGGTGGGGGTCTGAGGGCTGGAGGTTGCTATGGTGTGTCAGTACGGGATTCATGGCGCGGCCAATGGCTATATGTCCGTCTCGAGGGGACAAGGGTAGTGCTAATGGCAGCAGTGGGGGGGACATTGGAAGATAGGCGCATAGAGAAGGCTTCATGAGGCCTGGGCAGGCAAGGCAGGCAGGACGCGACATACCTTCGGGTCCATCGTCCGGGTGTACTGAGCTCGATGGGGCTCGAGCCAAAGCTGACGACGCCGTGTCCAATGGAGAGTCCAATTGAGGACGCTGGGGGCTATCGGTAGTCTGGGGACCTTGAGAGGTCATGTGGGGGGGCATTTGGCATTGCTGCGCCAGCGCAGCAAGAAAGAAAAGAAATTGGGGGAGATGTCGACGAAGCCGTCGCTGTCCAGTCTCTCACTCCTCGAAGGGGGGGAAGGGGAAGCAAACGGTGAGGTCGGGATAGGGAACTATCTGCTGCACGGGGCGCCGCTAGCTCGTGACGGGTGGGTCGGTGGAAATCGAAAACGAGGTTCACGAGGGTTTCCGAGCGAGCGAGTGCGAATACCGAGCCGCCCGGCGATTGGCCTGCTGCTGACCGTCGAGGTCAGGTTGCTATGCGACGTGCGCGTATCAGGATAGTCTGCAAGCGAGCGAGTGAAATTATGTCCGCCCGTCCCGTAGATAAATTGTTAGTATGAGATGATATGGCCAAGAGTTCTTCGTAAGTCTGTGTCGCAGGTGTTTGTTTCGGCCGTAGCCTCTGTTCCCAGACGGGCAGGCCAGGCCTATTGCAGTGCGCAGCGAGCTGACAGGGCGCTGGGAGGTGGCGGCACCAGCGTCTTCTGAAACGATCCTGCAAGCTGGCGCCTGTTTCGATTGCCTACGCTGGATATTCGCTGCGTTGGAGAATTGTGTCAGAGGCAGAAGAAGAGGCGAGAGGGCAGCGGAAACGGAGATTTGTTGACTGCGAGCGCCCCGTCCCTTCTGTTGTATTTCTATATCATGTGAGACGGCAGGCTCGGCAGAAGAATTGGCTCGCGCGACGGACTAATGCATATATCTGCTTCCCAAGGAAACGGCCGACCCTGGCTTGCTCGCCAAAGGCTAACAGAGCTTTATGGTTACTAAGGCAGGCAATAGCAGTCAGAGCCGGTGGCTGTGGGCAGGGGTTGCTGTAATTAATGGAAGGTAGGTTGGTAACACTGCTGGGGGATGGGATGCTGAAAGAAATTGAAGAGAGGTTGGACGAGATACAAGAACAGAACGGAAGGCTAGTTGACACACGCCTCGGTCAGCTTTGGTTAGTCTTTCGAGCGACGACGTAATAAAGATGGCCGGTATCCAGGCCAAGACTACAGGACCCAGACTACGACGGGAGGAAACAGGACGAGGTACGAGCTACACAAGTGGCGGGTGCCACCGTCGACGAAGTACCTTTGGAGCCAAAGTGCCTCGTTGGTCATGGGCTGTCAGCTTGGTTCTTTCTGTGTGTGTGCGCGCATGTGTGTGAGCTGGTCAGTAGGTAAGTATGATGTATACGAAAACGAGAGTCGATGATGGAATGGAAACACTAATTTGGAGTCAATTGGCAGCCCACTCCAGTGCTTCTTCGCCAATTCTTCGTCCCCCTCCCCATCTTAGCCATTTCCGGAACCGCATCAGTCCTGTGTTTTTTTTTTCCTTCTCTTCCCAGTGTAGCCACGTTCTCGCGGCAGGCTACCAACCTAAGCTGCATGTGTTCTGGTTTGGAAGCTTCGGGCGAAAAGAGTCCCGCTCCAGTGGCCCGCCAGCGGACTTCGGGCACATAGTCACAACTCCACCCCCTTGGTACGGAGATGTTAAAAATTCCGAGCGCGATCATGCCGCTTCGTCGTATCATACCTGCTCTCAGGCATGTGCTGGGCCAGCGAGCATTTTTGAGGCATAATTTGGACGCAGGAGTGACATTTCATGTGCATTCCCGCACCATGGCATCGCATCGCCAAGATGGGACGGACCATGGCCTGTGTCGCATGTCCCGCCGTAGTACGACATCTCGTCTTGCGTCTCGGGGTACGCGGCCAGTCGCTAGGCTTCCCGCCAAGAGCCTCCTGTTCGCTGCCTCGGCGGGCTGCTAGCACCTGGCCCCTGCCGCTGTGCTGCAGGTTCAGAGAAGGATTCCCGCTGCGTCGAGCCCATCATGATGACGTCGTCCACTGAAGATCCTCCACAGGTGCATGCACCTTTTAGAAATACAGCAGCCTACAGCGGTCCTGGTCACTGGTGCTGACGCCCCTCGATTTAAGATTCAAAATAAACTGCTGCATGCCTGCCATTGTCTTGGTCCCGTCTGGTTCCTAATTTAGGTAGGACATGATCCAACGGTCTGCACCCTGCGATGCATCCCAGGTACAGACACATGTGCATGCCATGGACTCCATGCCATGGAGTCAGATTGACAGGCATGTGCGGCCCCTGGTCTCAAATCCGGCTCTGCCAATGGCCCATCTGCCAGCCGAGGATTCATCCCGATCTCCCTGAGACTCCGTCCTGGTAATAGGCGTTCGGGATCCGATCAACGCAAAACCGTTTTAGGGTTCTCGGCTCCCGAGGCACACCTTGATTATACGCTCGTGCTTGCTCATCAGAATGGAACCCGCTGGAAACACCGAGCCCAGGTTTGCCGAGTCAGCATGCAGGTAATTTTTTCATCGTCTGATTTTCATGGCATCGCTTCCAGAATTGGTGACAAAATCGTGTGAAGCTAGGAAGCTCAAAGGGACTGAGTCATGCGACACCCTGTCCACTACAATATGTACCTTGCGTTTGTACCTGTAATCTTCATGTGCAGCGCCATGCCACCAACAAAACAAAGACTGTCTGTTACCGAAATGCGTGCACCAATGAGACCTTTTTCCCAGATCTAGCCCTATTGACCGAAACTTCGCTGATCCGCCCTGCGTCTATTTTGAGAAAGTTCCCTACCAACCGGACCAGGCACACGATTACTTTAACTGGGTGTCCCTTGGCTGGAGGTTTGTATTTAGCGGGGCAGTGCCACCCAATTGTCATCGGGCGATGCTTCCACTCGCAAAGGCTCCATCCATGCCCGTGCGTGCGTGAGGCAACTACGTCTTCTCCCTGCGACGGCGGAGTCGACCAGCATCCAACCATGACACAGCATTATCACCTACTGCCAACCGCACAACATGAAATTAGCCAAGCGTAAGCTGCCGGCTGATATCGAGGGCCAGCCCGTCTCCCTCCTCCCGGAGGACCCGGAGGACATGGTAAGTCTGAATTTGCTTTGTCCCAGGCAAATCTATCGAACCTTGACCCCACCATGAGCCAACCATCTTGAGCATTGCCCCTCCCCCGCCATCTCAAATCTCGAGAGCTGGTTACACGCCATGGCGCCTGCGTCCGCCAGCAAGTCACAATGAGCGGCTATCACTGACCATCATCTTCTGATCCCTAGTGGCATGCCTATAATCTTATCAGCACCGGCGACATCATCCACGGCCACACCAGCCGCAAGGTCGTGCGCAAGAATGATGCGACCGACCAAACATCAGCCGAGCGTGTCCATCTCGACCTCGCCATCCGGGTCCGCGGCACCTCTTTCGACCCCATCACTTCGATCCTCCGTGTCACGGGTGCCGTCATCTCGGAGAACGAGCATGCGCCCCTAGGCTCGCAGCACTCCATCGAAGTCGAGCCTCACCGAGCCTTCACCATCATCAAGCCGGAGCCCGAAGGATGGGATTCAGTTGCGACCGAGACCCTCCGCGAGGCGCTCTCCGACGACAAGGATGGCGCCCTTGCTGCCGTCGTCATGCAGGAAGGCATCGCCAACATCTGTCTCGTGACCCAGTTCCGTACCGTTCTCAAGACCAGGGTGGAGAGTGTCATCCCCAAGAAGCGTGACACTTCCTCTGACCAGGAAGCCGGCATGCGACGCTTCTTCGAAAAGGTCCTGGCCTCACTGCAACGTGCCGTCGACTTCTCGCAGTCTCGTCCCCTCCTCCTTGCGAGCCCTGGCTTCGTCGCCAACGACTTTAAGAACTTCATTGCCGGCAAGGGTCGTGACAATAGCGACAAGGTGCTCGCCAACGTCGCCAAGCTCGCCACAGTCGTGCATGCCAACACCGGTCATATTCACAGTCTGAATGAAGTACTGAAGAGCCCCGAGGTTCTGGCCAAGATGAAGGATGTGCGGTTCGCCAAGGAGGCTCTTTTGATGGACAGCTTCTTTGACATGCTGAAGCTCGACGATGGCCGGGCGTGGTACGGTTCCAAGGCCGTTGAGAAGGCAGTCGACGAGGGCGCCGTAGGGCCGGGAGGCGGAGCTCTCCTCATCAACAACTCCCTGTTTCGAAGCCAGAATCTTGCCGTACGCAAAAAGTACGTCGCGATTGTAGATAAGGTCAAGGCGGATGGGGGAGAGGCGCGCATTCTCAGCAGTGACCACGAGAGTGGGCAGCGACTAAGTATGTTGGGAGATATCGCAGCAATTCTCAACTACCCCATGCACGACCTGGACGAGGACAGCGAGGAAGAGGAGGAAGAGCAAGCAGTTATACCAAGACATCACGAGGATGATCCGGCTATGTTAGACAGTGTTATCTAGCTACACATTTTCACGACTTATGAAAGCAATAAAAGTTGAGCAAGCCAAATTTCGCGCGCAAAACATATCATGGACATCTCAGTATCACAATAGTCGTTGTCAAACGTTGATCTATCAGCTTAAGCTTTAGAACCCCACCAACTAACCCCGCGATTGCATACCTCATCCCTTCCGGAGCCTCTTTCATTACCTACACCTAAAACCGTACAGTTCACAGCCCTACATGGCTTAAAATCCGAGAGGTTCACACAATCACCACCGTCATTCTCCTTGAAATATTCAGCTCGTTTTTAATTTGATCTAATTCTACGCAGAATGGGATCCAGACTTCGAATCGACTCGACGGTTAAGCTCAACTCAGGCTATCATATGCCCATCTTGGGTTTTGGCGTGAGTACGCTATGCAGCCCTTTGTAACCATCAAGATAGCTAACCGCTCCCAAGGTATACCAGACGTAAGTCCTATTTCCTCCATCCTGAGTATCCAATGGAATTGGACTCACTATCTCAGCCCTCGAGAAAATGCCACGGAGATTTGTACGCTAGCCCTCAACGCCGGCTATCGTCATGTATGTCCCCTCCATTCTCCAAAGGCAAAGATTGCAAATAGCATGGTTTACATTGACGATCCATCCTGTGGGATTAGATGGATTCCGCCACAGCGTACCGCAACCAAGGACCGTCAGCCGCATCAATCCCAGCATCCGGGCTACCCAGAGAAGACATCTTCTTCACCACCAAAGTCCCCGTCAAGAAGAAGCCCCTCGGCTACGACACCGTGTGTGCGCTCGTGGACGATGCCCTGAAGGAAACAGGCCTCACATACATTGACCTGATCCTCATCCACTGGCCATACGGCGGCCCTGAGGCTCGCAAGGGCGCGTGGAAAGCCCTCGTCGAGGCCGTGGAGGCGGGCAAGGTACGGTCCATTGGCGTGTCAAACTACGGCGTGCACCACCTCGCGGAGCTGGAAGGTCACATCAAGGAGCTGGAGGCCGAGCGGGGCGGCCCAGGAAGAGGAGGTGCCATCTCGGTTGGACAGTGGGAGCTGCACCCGTGGCTCACGCGACCAGACATTGTGCAGTGGTGCCGGGAGCGGAACGTTGCCGTCCAGGCGTATTGTCCCCTTGTGCGCGGGGAGCGCTGGGGAGACGCCAAGGTCGTGGCGATGAGCAGGAAGTATGGGAAGACGGAGGCGCAGATCCTGCTGAGGTGGAGCATCCAGCGTGGGTACGTGCCGCTCGTGAAGAGCGTGACGCCCTCGCGCATCGTGGAAAACACGGGGCTCTTTGATTTTGAGTTGGCGGATGCCGAGGTGGAGGACATCAAGACGGATGAGTACAAGCCCATTGCTTGGGATCCCGCCATGGAGCCGTTAGAAAAGTAACAGAGCTATGAACACTGCCCAGACTTGCTAATCATCTTCGTGCTTGTAGATTTGGAGGTTAGTTGTCTGGTTGGATGGTGAGATGCTGCAGTCTTCCTTCTTGGCTTTGATCATTTTTGTGTCTGGAAACCTCGCCTGTAGGTAGAGCTAGAAACAGAAGGGAAAACAGTTTTCAATCTTCCAGATAGTCCCATTCTCTTGCCATTCTCTCCTGTTTAATAGGGGAAAGACCAAGCAGCCATCAAGACACCTTGAAGGCAGTGATGTTACTCACGTGACCTCGCTCCAGGGGCGCGTTGATTACCTTAGCTGCCACCCCACCATCACCCAACACGCGTTAATCACCACAATCAACTCGCTCGACGTTCGGCTCCCCAATCCTCCAGAGAACCCATGATTGCCGAACCCCCTCGACCGGACGAGTTTCAACGAGGGCGGTAACCCGTCCGCAGCCGACGAATTTCTCCCTCCGGCCACCATGCCGCCTGTCCAGGGGACATTCAAGCTCCTCCCTGGCCTCGCCCGTTCAGACGTAAACAATGGCCCGATCCGCCCCATGACCTCGAAGCAGGTCAAGAAGGCGCACAAGGCAGCAACTCGCCAGCCGAAGCTTTCGCGTGCGGAGCAGAGACGCCTTGAGCTCGCGGAACAGGAGCGCATTCGGAAGGAGTTCGAGAAGGAGCGGACTGCGACGCGCGCCCGGGCGGCCAGGGAGCGCAAGAAGCAGAAGGAACTGGCGGACAAGGAGGCGAAGCGGAAGAATGGGCTACCCCTTGTGGCTCCGAGACCGAGTCAGGAGACATTGTCACGGTTCATGTGGGGGAATGGGAGCGGGTTGAAGCGTGATGGGCGTGGGGCAACAGTTGCCCCCCCGCCGATGGCTGCGGTGAGAGAGGAGTCGGCACAGCCAGATGAGGATTCGATGGAACCTGATGAAGAGGTGGCGATTCAAAAGGAGCCAGCTATGGATGAGAGGGATGAGGATGGTGCGGATGTTCACATTGAGGAACCGGAGCAAGCACATTCTCCAGATGCCGCATCCCCCATACCAAACGCAGGCGCCGCACAGTCCGAAGAATTACCCGGACTACAAGCAATTGAAGAACCTATACAGCCTACAAGTTTCCATGTCGACGAGCCGGATGATCTAGGCGCCCCAAGGCTAAGCTCACACGCCCAACCTGAACCTCCGCCTGAGGTAGATGGAGGCAAAGAAGATTCGCAGACCACAGGTTCTGAGGTCAGAGAGCCGGCTCCGAAAAATTCGCCACAACAAACAACCCCTGGGCCAAGTATTAGCATTGGCCATCTTAAATCTCCGCCTGTGGCCCCAGGGGAAGAGGAGGCTTTGAAGTCTGCAGCAAGCGGGGGAAGCTTCATCCTGGAATCCTCAGATATGATCGACGATGAATCCTTACTGGAACTAACGGAATGCTTTGAACGCAGACCTGTATCAGAAGGGCAGAAAACCACAGCCACAGGTCCACAAAATGCAGCAATTCCAAACCCCGAAATAAACATACCGGACAACTTGTCCGACAACCTACCTGATGGTATTCCCGACGAATTCTCAGGCGATTTGGCTGTTCTTGGGGCAATCACGCAGTTATTTCACGATATGGATGATGATTCCGACTACGGGATGATCGGAGATGAGGTAATAGAATCGCACGGACGCCCATTGGAAGAAGTAGTACTGCCCCTTCCAGAACTTCACGATGATAAAACGAAACCGGAAGCGATTTCTGAAGACCAGGTTTCGCCCCTGCCACAGAGGAGTCAGAGACGCAGATTAGAGAGGAAAGTTTCCAGCTTTTTTGGGAGCGAGTTGGACGATGAATTGCTCTTACAACTGGAGTTGCCCGGCGAGGTTATAGTATCTCAACCATGCCAGCCGGTAGACGAGCCGCCGCAACACGAGTCTCCCCTGAAACAAGACCATAACATTGGCGGTACAGGCCGCCGTAGCACACCAAGCTCACCCCTGGCTCCACGTCAACGACCTCCTCCCAGCACGCAAGCTATCCTCCTCAACCTCGACGAGTACTTACCTTCTTCTACGCAACTAGCACTGGAACTCGACGAGGATGATATCGAAGAAGACTTCCCTGCGGTGGAAGCTACCGAGCAGGTAGAACAGCACCCACCAATTCCACGTCAGGACCCCCCACCGGCGAGCAGACAGGGTGTGCAGCCGACAATGGCTGCTCCACAGAGCGCTGGCCCGCCCGTTCGACCGCAAAAGCGATTCTTCAGCTCCTCTGGTTCCAACGAGTCGTTGCATCTCGCACTACATCTTAGTCGGCGCACGGCAGCTCGAGAGGGTATCCGCAGGAATAACCAGCGACGCATCGAGGCCGGTTTGCTCCAAGACCAAGGACGAACGATAAGCCAGCCGCCGAGACATCAGCACAAAAGACCAAAAATCCCTAGCTTTGCTACGAATTATCAAGTGGAACATGACCCGCCGGTGCAGAATGCTACGAGGACAGCGAGGACTATGGTTGACGAGGTACCAAGGCCAAGTCCCCCCAACCCTACAAAGGGAAGGCCGAGCGTCGGGAACGAGCACTCGAGCACAAAATCAGCAGTGGCGATCAAGAGGAATGATACAAACAAGGAGAATATACCGCCGGAACGGGTGACTGATGACCTCTTGGGCTCTGACTTGCCAGCTTCGCAGGAGACGGAGTATGGTGGCGCTTGGATGGACGACATCGGGCTGGATTTGGATATCTGATGATGAATTATTAGCTATTGATGATTAGCGTGGCGTTGTCAGGTTTCTTCTGGGGAAGATCATTTTTGGATTTTGTTTTCACTTTTCTTGTTCCGATTAGTTGGCTTTAGACGTGGAGGGCGAGTGTTGGAGATGATATACTTTGAATAGGTTGTATGAGACAAACCTGAGCACCCAGCATCTTGGATCTTGAACCTCACAGGCACGTTTCCGTTGGGATTTGTCACACCGGCTCCCTCCATTCATTACGTATCCACGGGCTGATTCAATGCGGTGTGTAAAAGAGACTTGCCATCTTGGCCTGGAGCCCCGTAAAATCTATGACTGCCCTATCATCGAATGCCCTCAAGGAATATAAAAGCAAATGGAGCCACCTCCCCCCAAAGCGCCATGCAAGTCCACATGTAAAAGCAATGGAAACCCTCCCGTACGCTTAGAAGCGACTAATGCATTCCCGACCTCCCTTCAAAAGCAAAAAAAAAAAACCAAAAGAAGCACCTCCCAACGCCGTCCTCATGCTTGTCATAAGAGGTGGTGACATAGGAAACGGCAAGCATGTCCGGCCTCACAGGTAGATGCCCACCCACTCGCCCTTCGGGATCACCTTGGTCTCGCAATCATCGACCGCACACCGGATATCGGTTGCACTGTTCATGGGGAATCCCGCACCGTTGGGCAACGCCTTGGTAGGCTTACGGTTTTCAAAACAGTCGGCACAGTAGACCTGTCAAGTTTCATGTTAGCTTCACACTATCCAGCGGTGGGAAGTACCAGCGCAGACGATCGAAAATCACAAAACGTACATGGCCGCAGTTCTTGAGAGCCCAGAAGTGATGCTCTCCGGGTGGCCTCTTCCGCTTGCCCTTACCGGTGGACGAGGACGGGGCAACTGAGGTTTCTGTCGGGTCGTATGCGAGTTCTTCGTTACAGCAGGGACAGACGACCACCTCGTCGTTTCCTTCTTCCGGCTCGGCGAACGTGGCCCGCGTGAAGCCATCTCTCGTGGGCGGCTCTGGCTCCATGGGTGGCTTGGGACTGGGCCGCTGGGCAGCTGGCATCGGAGGGGTGCGCCGCCTAGGCGCGAAGGCGTTGACCAGACTAGTGAGTGAGGACCGTAGTGCCGGGAGGGGTAGCGGAATGATGCTGGTGTTGCCTGTTTGCCTAAAAGTCACGCCCACCAGAGCATCTGGGAATGAGCGCTCCAGCCGAGCCAGCTGTGGTTGCGGTGGTCGCCGTGGTGCATGTGCTCGCGAAGTTCGCTCAATTTCGGGGGAGTCCCCGGTCAAATCTATTATGTCAGGCATCTCCCCGGTGCGCGAAAGAGTGCCGTCGCTTCTTGCAAGGGTGGGCGGGGAGGTTCGTAGAGAGTTGGTCCTTCTAGGATTTCGACCCGATCTACTTCGAGAGAGGGTGGGACCGTCGGGGAGTAGTGGTAGCAGAGGGTGTTGTTGGACGTCGGTGGGGGATTCGGGTTCGTTCGTCAGGTCGATGACGGCTGGAGGGGGTGGTGGGTTGGTCTGGATTTGTTGTGGGTTTGGGGAGTCTCGGGAGAGGAGGGACGAGGATCGTGGGTGGTGGTGGTGATGATGGTGGTGGTGGTGGTGGTGGTGATGTTGCTGATTACTATTCCGCTGACGAGGTTGACTTCGATGAGGTCGTCGGGGTTGTGGCTCATGCTGCGCTCTGGGTTGCAGCATCTGAGCCAGTCCTGAGAACATGCTGTCGCCGGCGTCGAAATGTGAGTTGCTGCTGAGGGGCGCCCGGCCGTTGGAGGACGAGTGGGAGCGCTGGTGCTGTAGGCTTGGAACGGCTGGAGCCCTGTTGTTGTTGGCAGCGCGGGATTGGAGAGATTCCGGCGGGAAGGCCACCTCTATGACCTCCTCGCCGCTGTCCCAGCCATAATCCGTCTCTGAAGAGCGGTCCATTGCCGGCTCCTAGCACGTCTCTAGTGCCTGCCGTCTCGTCCAAGCAATTTATACGGCTTGGGCAAGCCGGATCGAATATTAAACAGTAGCCGGCTCGTTTCGAGGGAGCGAATCCGGTTCGTCGAAGTGTGTGGGTTCCCGTTGGCTCAACATAACAAAACATAAATAAACAAAGCGGCAGGGACCATGGGACACGGCGGTAAGCGACTGTCGGGCATGTAGGCGTGCAAAATCAAGGTATTATGACAAAGGAATGTAGCCAGAAACCCGCGCACATTTGGTCTCCAGGTTGAAACTCGATTTGACCCGAGAGTGGGGTGGTGAAGTTGAAGTTGGATGAGGTAAAGTCAAGAGGCGACTGGGCCAGGCGCCAAATGTACGCCGAGCGAGCTAAGCAGGGACCTTGGAGTTGGGATGCACTATCAAAGATATGTGCGCAGGCGCGCTGTTTGTGCTAGGGCAGCCTGTGCCACCTTAGCACGAGACGCGTACTGGCGGTGGCTACGGGCGATTAGACCCAGTCGATTGGAGGCAGATTCGACTCGGACAGAACTGGAGCCTTCCGCAATTTCAAGTTTGTCATCCGTCGCCACGCTTCAATCATGCGTGACTGCTGGTGAATTAGCCCTGGCCGTATTCACGCGAGAGCACATCAGCCGCTTAGGCAACTTGGATACGTAGTCAACAGTTTTCCCCTTTTTGTCGCCACCCGGCACGACCGAGGTCATCTAATATATTTGGCCAATGGATGGTTGACGTAACACAGAGAATGCAAATAACAGTACAACGATTGATTCCAAAACCCGGAAATAAACCTCACCATAAATGAAAACAACCAGAAATCCTTCGCCCTGTTCACTGCTTATGCCTTAACGCCAAACACGGTAAGCGCATTGTCGTTGGTGAGAACGACCAGTTTGCGTCCGTGTTCTCCCCATCGAACCCCAATTGCAGGGACCGAGCTTCGGAAGGGCTCGCTCCAGGCCTTACTGGCCTTAAGATATTGTTGTACGGTGATGCCGGATGGTCCTCCAGTGGCGAGGAACTGTCCGGTGTAGTCCCATGACAAGCTCTCCACATCACCACCGGTCTCTAGGACCTTGGCCGTCGCTGCTGCACCCTCCTTGCGAAGGTCGAAGATCTTCACGGTTGATTGGCGCTTAGCTGCGGCCGCAAGCCAGAAACCATTCTCAGAGAAGGTCAAAGCTTGGACTGGGACACCAGACTCGAGCTCAAATTCAGCGGCTTGCTCTAGAGTCTTCGTCATGTACAATCTCACGGTGCCAGTGGCTGTTCCCGCAGCCAGGAGGTGACCATCAGGGTGGAACGCGCAAGCAGTAAGAGCTAGGATCAGTTAGCATCAACATTACCGCCAGACTTGGGATCGCAACTTACCGGAATTAGTAAATGCTCTGCTAACTCGCTTCAGAGTCTCGAGCTCGTAGAAAACAATAGACTTGTCACTGCCAACGGAGGCGAGGATGGCGCCGCTGGGATGAACGCTGACGGCGGCCACAGGTCCAGCATGCTCTGTAGCCTGAGCAACCTCACTACCACTATCGAATACCTTGACAGATCCTTGTGCAGTACCGAAGACAATCTTTGAGCCTGCCCAAGCGGTGTTGGTGACGGGTTCGTTGACGGAAAACTCGGCGTCGACCTTTTCGTCATCGATAGAGAAGGTGGCAGATCCACCCTGTAGACCACTCGCGGCCGCCTGTGATCCCGAGACATCGAGGTATCGTGCATCGGATACTGGTAGGCTCGTTGCGGTACCCTGCTCGAGAGTCGTGATTTCGTCTGGGGTGGCCCAACCTTCTGGGATCGGTCTTCGCTTACGACCTTTAGATAGACTACAGGTTTGGTGGTTAGTGTCAATGTCTAGAGTTTTCAGGCAGCAATCAAACATACGTCGCGTGTGTCTCGTCAACAGATGTGGCGAGATCCTCTGGCAAGCCCTCTGTGCTATCAATGGCCATGGCATCTCCATTAGCGCCGTCACTGACGGTCAGCTTTCCAAGCGCTTCCCGAGCCTCATCCCGTTCCCTGGATAACCGCGCAATAACGCGTACAGCTGCATCATGCTGATATAAGGCAGTCGAAAGCTCCTCCCGCGTCCGTGCGAGTTGCTCCTTGAGATTATAGGTCTCTAACGCGAGGGCATCCCATTCGTTCTGGAAGGTAGCAAGCAGGGCTGGGATCGAAGTCAACGTGGGTGGTCGCGGTCGCACAATGCGCGAAGACTGGATAGGAAGAAGGTCGTTTGCGGTAAGGCCTTCTCCAGAGCTAGGTTCAGTGCCGTGTTCGTTGATGTATTGTTCGATCAAGCGCTTCTCGTACACGACGCCAGTTTTTTTAGAGACGACAGGCTCTTGGGGAGCCTCTCCCGAAACTTCACAAATTGAATGTTAGCAGGACATCTAACAGAGTGAATTGCGAATTGACTCACTTCCGCAAAGCATGGCGACACAAATTTAGGAGGTTGTGGCGCTGGGTTGGTGGTTCTGCGATTTCAACAGCACCGTATGAAGCTCTCTGTTGTCGCGAGATCTTGGACTTTGTCAAGCTCATTCGGCATAAACCTGAGATTTCGGTGTGCACGGACCATCCAGGCACGCTATCGTCAACAACTAGCCTACCCTATATCCAGTCACGAGGTGATAAGAGCTTGGGAGCGCCTATCACCGGCTCCCTCGTTAACCCACGCCTAACCCACAGTGGGGTAGAAGCTTCCCACTGAACTACAAGACCTTATCAGCACCATACTCCTCCTGTAAGTCTGTCCTGCTCCCTCGAGAGACAAAGGACAATTCGCTTTCCAGCATCGTTTCTTCTGGCATCATGGCTCTCAAATCGTTGCCTCCTGTGTCTGACTTCCGTAGTCAAGAGAAGACCCTCCAGATTGAAGCACTCGATGCCCTCTTCGAACCCAGTCCTGCGATCCACGAGACACTGCTCCCAATAATTCAGACCGCACCGTACTCTGCCTGGCCAGAGTTCATCGATGCCTGCCATGCGCGCTTCCTCGAGCTAGCGAAAAGCTCCTCAGACTCGTCACCCGACCCCAAGCTCCTATCCATCCTGGGCTCTCATCCACGACTCGGAGAGACGAAGATTACCTCGACACACTCAGCCGCCGAGCAAGCCAACCTCCAGAAAACAGCAGACCCCGTCGAGGCCGCAGAGCTGGCGCGATTAAACCGCGAATATGAAGAGAAATTCCCCGGCTTGATATTTGTGGTATTTGTCAACGGGCGCGGCAGACCAGAAATCATGGAGAACATGAGAACCCGAATCGCGAGAGCCGACTTCGCTCTGGAGGTTGACGCGGCACTCCAGGTAGCCCTAAACCTCTCAATTCCTCTCCTATTTCTTGTCGATATTATATGCGTACACGTCTTGCTGACAACGAATAGGCCATGTGTGACATTGCAAAGGATCGCGCAGCCAAACTTCAATAAACTTGGGCCTCATACCTACGAGGCGCGTGTGAACAATTGCATCGGCCCGCCGCTCTCACCTCATATGCCTACAAGCTATGATGATTGAACTGCTAATAGTCAGCCATTAAATCCCTTGTGTGCATTTCCAATGTGATGCCTTCCTGATTTCAGAACCCTTCGCACCTTGGCGAGTCGTCGATGCGGCCCTTTCTATGGCCTTCGCTTGACCTTCACCTTGACCTATCCATATAATGACCGGTTGAGAATACATGCCTTGCAATGCTAAGATCTTGGCCTTCAGATAGTGACGCTAGGGTTCAATTGAAATAAAAAAACGATAATCAGGAGCAAGAACATCACTGGTCGCATCCTCACCATAATCTTGCCTACCCTATACTGATCCAAGGTAGAGCTAACCCATTGCAAGAAGACAATGAATGTTTAGAGATACGGCCATGATATCGAACCGGTAGATTAGTGAATAAGAATGAATTCAATTATAGTAACCTTGGCTTTAAGATAACTGAGGCTATCTTACTCATATAAGTCCTTAACCTCGAAGTCGCGCTCAGCCAAGTCAGCAGACTCGAAATCTCGCTCTACGAGATCATCAGCTCCCAAGTATCGCTCATACAGGGCATCAATGTCAAAGTCTCGCTCGGCGAGGTCCTCAGAATCCAAGTATCGCTCGTACAGAGCATCGATATAAAAATCCCGCTCAGCGAGGTCCTCAGACTGGCTTCTCTCGACGAACTCAATGTAACCGGTCTCCTCGTGTTCCTCCAGATCTCTCCCCACGACACCACCCATGATAGTGGCAACTGGCTTGGTCTTGCCAACAACACTGCCGTTATAGTCCTTCTTGCTGTTGTGTTTGGCACCCTTGGCACCGGGGGCAGCCTCAGCGTCGGTCTCGTCTCGCCTCGCAAGGCTGTTGTAAGCGGCTGGTGCGGCGAGAACACTCTGGGCGGCACTGAGAACCAGAGCGGCAGTGAGGGTGAGTTGCTTGATGTAGACCATTTTGAATTGAATAGTGGTGGTGTATAGTAAGAGTGTTGAATATGATTAAAAATCGACCTGCGATGTATTTAAAAAAGGGGTAATAGAAGCGAAGTATAGAGACCAGCTCTTGAAAAAGTGAATTTTTTTTGGGTGTTTGGGATATCGAAAGAAAACCTCCTCTTTGTTCTGAGCGAGCCTCTTTATATCTTGAGAATCTAAATGCTTGACTTGGCGCTCAACACTACCAGCATCAGTATCTAAGTGGGCAACTCCTGGGATTATCTTGATCGAGGAATACGATGCCGATCGGAGCTTGGCCACTCCGTCTTACAATGAAACCCCTAACTCATAGTTAATAATGGAATTGTCCAGAACCTTCCTCACCTAAATTAATTTTTTGTCGTGGTCGCTTACTATTCTGGGTACTGGCCGGCGGAAGACAAGTTGAGTTGGCTTGAAAGATTGAGTGATTGACTCTTGCTCTCCACACAAACCAGACTGATTCGTTATTGTATAATTTTAACAGGACCTAAATCCTTCACTAATGGGAATCGGCGGTCTTCTCGGAGCGTCTATGCCGATAATGTATTGAGGCCGTTAATTTTAGGGACTGAGGCCTGGTGTAAATGATAATGTTGTGGCACTATCTTGTTGAGGGACCATACCTATTTATAGATTAATTGCTATACAAGATTCAAAGTCGGACAGATATTTCGAATATAGACTTTGGAGTATTCGACTTGTGTTGTGAATACATGTGCGTTTGTGCCAACTGGTCGCACCGAGATATCTATGGAGATGAACATATGTTGGCATATGGGTTCCAGGTGAAGTAAGGAAATTAGATGACAAGGGAATCAATGGACTATATTCTATCACGTACAAGTGGTGAGGGAGTTATGCAATACGTGCAGTGAGCTTTCATAACTCTTAGTTAAATTTCAAGACAAAGATTATGAAAACAGCATATAGATAGATGTGAATCAAGTAAAAGCGACCCTGCAATTCAACAGTGCTCAACCCGCAACGGTTTAGACCAGGACATTAATCTCTCCGCCTGAAGTTCCTCTGATCTTCTCCCATTCGTCCTCTTTGATTGCGAACAACAGCTCATCGTGCCACTTGCGGTTGAAATACCGACTCTCTCTCATACGACCTTCTTCAACAAACCCCAAGCTTTTATACAGGCGAATCGCCTTCTCATTAAAGGCGGATACGCCAAGAACGATGCTATGGAGCCCAGCGAAGCGAAAGCCCCAATCCATCATCCAGTTGACAGCCTCACGACCGTAGCCTCGGCCGTGGTAGGGCTCCGCCAGCATAATACCCAGCGCGGTCCGCCTATGCACGGCCAGCTCAGGATGAACACCCCCGTATCCGAGCATCATCACTCCTATGACAGTAGGTTTGGCGTTGGTAGGCTCCCCCAACTGCTGTGCTGCTCCTGAGCCCGCCACGACATCTCGCCTCGCCTCTTCTTCTTCTGGTCGGAGGCAGATTGAGACAGCCAGCAGTGATTTAGCTAGCGTTTGAATGAGCACGTCGAAGTCTGCTTTGCCCTTGGGCCTCGTGATGAATGTCCACGCAAGAGCCTGGACGATGGGCTCATGTGCGATCTGGGGCAAAATAGCTCGAAGGTTTTCATCTTCCGGGTCCGCTTTGACATAATACAGTCGCTTGGTGGAGAAGGCATCTCGGATTCCATCCATAGCAGAGCTCATTGTGATTTGGTGAGACGGATTCTGAAAAATGATAAATTGGTTGTTTGTAAAGTGAAAGGTTGGCGTGTTGATGAGGAAAGTGAAATACTAATCATCTGATTGAAGCACCTATTTATACCTAGGTTGTTTTGCTTCTGACATACCTTCAGCTCGTTCAAGTTGGTAGTTGCGTAGAACAATCAACTGGCTAGAATGGAGCGTGTGGGTAGGTGGCTTGGTGTTGGCTTGGCCACCGGGACTAGTCATCCTATTATCTATATTGTCTTAATTTATCCGGATCCCTCTAGTTGGAGGGAAACAAGTCTCTAGTGAACTTTGTAAATATGACAATGAGCCCTAAATATGTTGAAATGTTACCGCAACATATTGTGTCAGAAAAAGGGATGAATTTTCGCTCCCTTCCCTTAACCTCCATTTCGAACCCCTCCTACCCCACCCTTCTCAAGTGATTAATGGCAGTAAACATTAGTCCTAAATAATGATATTGGGAGGAATATTTAAGTAGGATAGAGTGATGACCCTTGCATTCTCATTTACTAGAATGGGGTGCCTCCTGGCGTGGTATAGGGGATAGGCGGAGAAATGGCCAGAGTACGCCATTGCTCTGATGATACAGTCATATAATTCGTTTCAGAAACAACTAAGACATCTTATCATCTTGGTCTCATAGGCTCGGACTAAACCTATATCTAATAAGGTCTATGTTAGATCAGGGCGAAGGCGACATGTTCCACCATCAATGTTGGAGGAGAAAGAGAGACCAAGGTGGCGCGAAAGGAGGCTCTCAATTAGATGAGCAGAACATTCCGCATTTTCTTTAATATCTGCAGTTCTTATTGTACTTACACTAGCATCTAAATTATTTAAGAGGTGGTTGCACAAACCTCCCATCCGTATGTGAGACCAGTCTTGAATTTTCTTATGCTATAGTATTGAACGCTTGACTCGAGCGGATAGATTATGTTTAATGAATTAGGTTTATTTAAAAATATCTTAATCAATAACCTAATTGCGTAAACAAAACTTGTCTTATAAACCTAAATTCAAGTATCATAGACCTATAGTTTAAACGATTAATATTATTGAAACCCGCTATCTCATTGACGAAATGGGGTCCTACGACTCTCGACTCGAGGATCCAGACCTCAAGTTTGCGAAACTTTCCCGTCTGTATGCCCGAGGAGCCAGTCTTAGCGACTACAAGATGGGGCCCTGACGAGAGCAAGAAATTCTCCAATTTGGCCATTAACTTGACAGGGCTGCTGGATTATGTAGAGCGCCTCACTAAGTAAATTGACCTCCTGAAGAGTCAACGGCAATTCTATTGGGGGTGGAGACGATTCAAGAACTCGCGAATATCTTAAGATCTGCGAATGGATGATACAGAATCTGTGGCTAGAATTGTAGCACAACAACTCCCGAAGAATCTAAGAGAAGACACTGAAATCTTAGCCCTCGGGATCATCACCAATGATGGTTTTAGGGAGGATGTTGCTTGATACAATGTAGAGTTTAGAGGAATTAAAGAGAGTCTGTCTGAAGATAGGTGTGCTGGTTCAGCACTCACCAAGCAGACTTGATAATGAGCGATGCGTTAAAATTGCTGAACATGGTGCTGCCTAAGCTTAGGATGCCACTATCCCTCCCGTTGCGCCATAAGGCCATGGGGTTATCGTTATGACGCTTCTTGATGTTGGCATATAACGAAATACACCGGCTCTTAAGATCAATATCTGTTCTGGGGAATTTTCTATAGAATGCGGCCTCGTGGGCGATCACATATTCGTACCGCAACAAGCTTGTCGCTTTGTTTTCCGAGAGGTCAAATAAATTTGTTCCAAGGCTTTTGGGTAGGTAGGTCGGTTTATTAATGGCTGCTGCAATAGAGACGCAGAGGCACTGCTGGCCACCTATTGGGTCTGGTGACCAGCCGCTTATGGCCAGCTTTGGAGATGGCATCAATTAAGGACAGAGGCTGTGTTTGGGCTGTGCAGAAAGTGGGGGGGGGAGGAATTAAGCGCGCTGGTTAGGCGTCTACAGTTCGCATAGCTGCCTCACCAAACTATTGGTCGTAGAGGTTGTATTTTTCTTAGATCCCTGTCAGGGAGGCTGAAAGCTGAAGTGGCTGAAGGGGCAACATGTAAAGAACTCGACCAAGGCTCGCTCTGATCAGTTATTTAGACGGTAATGCATCTTTGTTTGCGGTCCTGATCTACTCATATCGCTAACAGTTTCATGCAAGATGAACCCATTCACGACGATAGGGTTGTCGGGCAACATCATCACCTTTATCGAGTTTGCGGTCCAGGTGAACTGTTCGACGTCGGAAATCTATCACTCGGCGACGGGAGAAACGGACGCCAACGCAGCGTTGCGAAAGGTAACGACACATTTGAAGAAGGCGAGTGGTGAGCTTTCCGCCCAGCTTCCGGCATCATGTTCCCTTCTCGAGAAGGACATTGCAGCGCTTGCATTGGACTGCAAGCGAGAGGCAGATATGATGTTGGATATTTTATCCACGCTCCAGGCGCCCGTGAAAGGGAAATTGCCGCCTGCGAGGGTAGTTCTCAGGACCTTTTGGAAAAGGAAGGATCTCCAGGATAGGAGCAAAAAACTGGCAAGCCTCCGATCGACTCTTATTCTACGGCTTGTTGGTTTGATCAAGTATGAGTGGTTCCTCTTCCAAAATTAGTCTATCGTGTCGTTCTAACATCTTACTAGTGACCAGAACTCAAGCATCAACAAACTGGTGATGGATCTCACAGAGGCTGGTTCAATGGTGTCTGCCAACACAATGAGTCGGTTAGACAAGCTTCAAAATACAATCGAGGAGCTGAAAGATAGCATGCGAAAGAATTCAGAGGATCCGTCAGACCCCAAGAAGCCCAACATGGAATTCATCGCCCGGCAAGTCGACCTGATCCAAGAGATCGGGGACCCAATCGCCAGGGAACAGCAAGTCCTCAAAAATCTCCGTTTCGAGTCGATGATGATGCGTGAGTCGGCAGTCGCAGAAGCTCATGCACAAACGTATGAATGGGTTTTTTCCCGCCGGTCCAACTTCCGCCAGTGGCTGTCTCACGGCGAGGACATTTTCTGGATATCAGGCAAACCGGGCTCAGGCAAATCAACGCTCATGAAGTTCATCAGCCACCGCCCAGAAACGACCACAATCCTCAGATCCTGGGCAAATGGCCAGCACCTTGTAACCGCGAGCTTTTACTTTTGGAGCTCGGGTACCACAATGCAAAAGTCGCTCCAGGGCCTGTTCCAGTCCTTGCTGTTCGAGATGATGCGCCAGTGCCCCTCAATCATTCCACTGCTCTGTCCCAATCGATGGGGAAATGCCTTCCTGAGCTCTGTCGACGAGCCATGGACGTGGGATGAAGTGAAGGCGGCCTTCGAAAAGGCAAGGCAGCAGCGCAACATGCCAGCCAAATTCTGCTTTTTCATTGACGGATTGGATGAATACGGCGGCGACCACTCGGAAATGATAGGGCTTTTATTCAAGGCATCGGAATCAGCAAACATGAAGTTATGCCTGGCTAGCCGCCCAGAGAATATCTTCCAGAGTTCATTTGGCCAGTCAAAGGAAAAGATGCTGCGTCTGCAGGACTTGACAAGGGAAGACATATTTCGCTACACGCGGGATAAGCTTGATTCCCACAGAACCTTCCTCCACCTGAAGTCGAGCGACAAGACGTATGACTATCTGGTAAAGGAGATTGTGGACAGGGCCGACGGCGTGTTTCTGTGGGTGACGCTTGTCGTGCGTTCTCTAAGCGAAGGAATCACAAATGCCGACACCGTCGCCACGCTGCATAAGCGACTTCAGCAGCTCCCATCTGACCTCGAGCTGTTCTTCACTCATATTCTGAATGGTGTGGGTGAAATCTACTGGGAGGGAACAGCAAAGGCCTTTCAGATGGCCACAACTGCTGTCCATCCTCTTCCGCTATGGGTCTTTTCGATCCTAGACGAAGATGAACCCAACCTGGCTTGCAAGACAGTAGTAACACCGATCACAAAGAGTGATATAATCGAACAAACAGAGCTTCTAAGCAAGCGACTCAACGCTCGTTGCAAAGGTCTACTTGAAGTAAGACTTTCTGGCTCAAGTGACTATCCAGGCTTGCACCGGGTCGAGTTCCTGCACCGAACAGCTCGAGACTTTCTCCGAGTCAAGAGCGTAGAAGACTTGCTGATTTCTAGGCAAGAAGAATATTTCGACGTTGATGAAGCTCTTTGCAGGGGATTCCTCATGCAAATGAAGCAGCTGCACCTGTCCACGTCCCGAAGCCCGTACGCGAATGACCAGATGCTGGACACGGTCCTGAGGGATCTCATGCACTACGCAAACAGGGTAGAAAAACGGACAGGGCGGCCTCCAGTTGACATCCTGGAAGAATGCTTGCGGTCCATCAGCGAGTGTTTCCCAAAGGCACCCACGCTGGGTCGTCTGACCTTTTACCCCTACGTGGTCCGCGAAGGTTTATTCAAGTACCTCCAACACCTTCTGCGCTCCAACGCCAACTTTTTCCGAATTGTTGGTGGACAGCCTCTTCTGAGCGTCGCGTTAACGTCAACCGCTCAGCAATCTCAGGGAAGCAGATATAACTACGAGCTGAATCCCTCCATCGTGCAATTGCTCTTGGACCATGGAGCCGACCCAAACCAGTTATATATCCGGCCTTTCCACCCAGACGGATCAGTATGGAAGGATTTTGTGGCTTTCCTCCAAAAGTCGACCAACGGCATGTCTATTGATCAGGGGATCAAGTTCCAGGCATTCAAATTGATGATTGGCGCCGGTGCAAACAGGAACGTTTTGTTCTCAGACAGACTGAATTTGGAAGAGGCGATGCATGATATTTTCACTCAGCAAGAGGCAAAGCTTCTAATCCAGTTGATACGAGACTTGGAGCAAGGTAACCTCGATCAATACTCTGCCCCGATCTATCGTGGCCTGACTAACTGTTGGAATAGTAGGGAAGGTGGGACGTGCTACAATGACCCCAGCGAGGATTGTCAATCATCCGATGGTCGAAGCAAGAAACAAACCAAACGAAATAGAGCAACGTGCGGTGACTCCGCCGGAGACTTTTATTCCTCAGAAGGCTATAGAAACAAAAAGAAGGCCCCAAGAAAATCAAGGTGAGTCTCATGAACGAATATTTAAAGAGCTACAGAACCCTAATGTTAGTTCAGATGTAGATATCTCAAATGCAAAGATATCTATAGATATAGAGGGTACGAGATATCATGATAGTTTCTGGGCTAAGCTTGTCTGTTGTTTTAGGTGAGTTTTCATAATAGTTTTATATACCATAATCACTTCTGCGTATATCGCATAGTAGTGAAATATAGCGAAATTGGAAATAAAGAAATGGCAATACAGAGTATATTCAGGGTTAAAACCTTACTTGCTCCCTCTCTGGCTGTGTCATCCTTCTGAAGCTGGCAAGCCTCGACTCCTACATGATTCAAGATATCTGTTGGGGTGGGGTGGGAAGGGACAACAATGGGGAACCTAATTGATGTTGAGAATTACTAAAGAGGTATATTTGAGCTCGGCAATCACATGTGGAGGGGATCGAGACTATGATTGAGTTTGAAGGTAATAATAGTTCAGTTCAAATTCCAAACCTACGTGGTGTACCGCTGAATTACCAATTGCAAAAGGTGCCCTTGCAACAAGCAAATAATCACAAGTGATCCTAGAATACCTACATTAGATTTGTTCGGCTGGTAAGGGGTGAAATCCAATACTGGAGCTGTGAAGCTTACTACGAAGCATCCACGAACCCCGGTGATGCTCGGCCACAGAGTTCGGTGGTTTACATTGATTAGTGCACTCATCCAATTTTGGGCCAGCGCATCAGGCAGTCTAGGGTTTGATTCCTTCCAGATAGCGCTGCGCTCTATTCCACACAGTACCACTCCGTATTACCGCCCGCTGTCTGCGGGAGAGTGTAAGCCTGGATGGCACCCCGCACACAGCCCTGGGTCTGGGTCAATGCTAGCTGGCTGTTCTCTTCGGCACGAATCATGATATGTCCAACCAATATTCACGTTTAATCACGCAATGGTTTCGTGCGTGAACGGCCCTTGGTGTGGCTGGGTGCAGATGGGGCGCAGGGCCAGCCGCCGAGGAAGTGGCAGTGGCAGTGGCTGTTAAGGCAGCCAGCAGCACTCGAGCCCCGCATCCTGTAACTGGACCCTGTAGCTGGACCCTGTACTTGGGGTCTTGGACCCTGCAATCCCACTAAAGCTCTACCGCAGGCCAACCACCCGCTCTCTCCATCACTCGCCCTCACCCACACACACTGCTGCAAGGCAATGCACGTTGTACAGTGTGCGCCAGCGGATGCCTGGCCAGCGATTGATGACTGGTCTGCTTGTTGGGTCAGTCGCATGATGACACATTCACGGCACCGAGAACGATCAAAAGTGCATCTGGCGCCGGCACACCACGCCCTGCAACTTCCCATCTTCATCACCACGCGCCAAGCTGGCCACGTACTACCCACCTGATACCTGCAAGACCACAAAACCACAGTCATGTCGCCTGGCGATCGAGCACGGTATGATGAGTGGCTCTCCGAGAAGACCTCGAGGCTCAAGCGCGAGGACCCCACCGACAGAGCCCGCGCACGCCAGAAGGAGGAGCTGAGGGAGACGGCCCAGGAGACAGTTTCATTCCTCCGCCGTGAGCTGAAGCACCGCGGCACCGAGGATGACGCCTACAAGTCCACCCTGTGCACCATGGGCACCACCCGGCGCCTCGTGCCTCTGGCGATCCCCCGCTTTCGCGACGCAGCCGAGATCCAGGTCTACAACGCGGACACCCTCAATGTCGCCATCGGCCTGTCACAGGCCGCCGCAAAGAGCGGCTATGACCCTGAGAAGCACAACACCCGGCCTCTCATTGTCAATTTCGCCAATCCCAACAAGCCAGGCGGCGGGTGGCTGAATGGGCAGCTCGCCCAGGAGGAGGCCATCTGCTACCGGAGCTCCCTCGCGCTGAGCCTCAACGAGAAGTTCTACCCGATGCGCAAGGATGAGGCCATCTACAGCCCCTACGTGATCATCGTCCGCGACGACATGGAGTCGGGCCACGAGATCTACAAGTACCGCCTGCCGCCCATCGGCGCCGTCACCGTGGCCGCGATCCGCGAGCCCGAGGTGACGACGTACGAGCTGCAGAGCACCGTCGGCAAGCGCACCATCCACGAGAAGGACGTCTTCACCAACGACCAGGACAGGGACCTCACCAAGGCCAAGATGAGGCTCACGCTGCGCATGGCGCACAACAACGACCACCGCTGGCTGGTCCTCGGCGCCCTCGGGTGCGGCGTCCACAAGAACCCGGCCGAGGACATCGCGCACTGCTGGCTCGAGGTGCTGCGCGAGGACGAGTTCTCGGGCAACAGGTGGGCCCAGATCTGGTTTGCCGTGTTCGACCCCAAGGATGATGGGAATTATGACATTTTTCACAAGATTTTAAATGGGCAGCGGGTATGATTGACTTGACTTGTTTTGATATTTCGGATTTTCAGCTTGTAGCTAGCTCATGATACCAGACACTGTTTGAGGGGTAATTAAAATGGGATTTTTTTGGGTCACTACTTGATCACTATTTCAAGGTGCCTTTGACTGATTCGTTCATTGCCATCACACTGCTCACTTTCATTGATTGCACAGCTATTCAAAAAGGGTAACATGGCAGGGGCTGGGCAGGGTTGACGGGAACTAGAGGCTTCAGCCCACGCCGGACTGCCTGTCTATTGCCTCCCGCAGCCCAGCAGCAGGCAGCACGTCTCGCATCGCGGCACAGCATCGCCCGTCCAGTCTTCCTGCAAGGCGAACCGACTACGTTGCAGTCCTAGACTCCTACGAGCCTCAACCCCGGTCCATCCCGCCTGTGGCGCCGGCTATCAGCAGAGACGAGCCCAATTGTGCACTTTCAGCCCTCAGCTGGGCCTGCACAAATGTGCGGTAGCAGTTGACTGCTCATCCCGCTAGTGGGAAAAGGCGCCCAGCCATGCAGCTGGCTGAAATGGCCCTGTAAGCCAGTGTGAGATGTGATGCTTGCCCCTGGTTGTGGTGATAATATAGGTAGGCCGTACGGCTCGGCGTCTGGTGAGCTGGCAATGTCTCCCATATTCTCCTCTCACGGCTCCCAAGTGCGATATCTCAAGACAAGCCTGAATATCCTATTCGTCTCTGGCTAGACGTCGGTTGCCTGCCGCGCACCCGCTTATACCGTTCCTCTGGTCTCATAGCGAGCGCCGTCACAGCCGGCGGTGGTTACAGCTAAGCCAAAAGATGGGCATCGTATGTCAGCAACCGACAACTTCTTTGCTGGTCACTGTCGACTAATGTTCATCTCTTTTTTATAGAAATTAAGGAAATTAGACAGAAGTGACGTTCGTTTCCAAGAACGTATGTGCCAATCCACAGGATATCTTAGGATGATCATTCCCATAACTGACCTGGAGCCTCCCAGACGAGCAAGAGTTCAACAGACGATGGCAGCATCCCGGCAAATACGCCCGAGTGCAGGAGGTTTTCCTCGCCAGAGATATCTCAGTGTCCATGTCGGTCCGAGGCATACGATTCAATAGATACAGGTATGCACCGGAGCTACCAAAAATTCGTCAACCAGGCATATCCCGCTGACCTGTGTACTCATCTAGAAACGGTACGCCGTGGATGCTGCTCTACCACGGGACGCAGCGTGCTTGCTACGCCGGCGAGTCGGGCGATTCGATCCACAACTGCTCCAACGCCGAGTGCAAGTTCTGCTCCATCCTGAAGGAGTCGTTCAAGATCTCAGAAGCCGGCTGTAAGTGGCCCAGCACACGCGCCGCGCTCCTCTTCCATTCTCGGGGCTGACCAACGTCCAGCAAGGAACAGACATGGCATGTTCGGCAAGGGAATATACACGACACCGATTGCTTCAAGTAAGCCGGGCCTTTGTTTCCTGTTCCAGGTTTCTCCAGATCAGCGACGGGCGTGCTGATCGTGATTATAGAAGCAGACAACTATGCCAAGAACCATCACATCCGATCGCAGTTCCACGCCATTATCCTGTGCCGGGTGGTTTGCGACAAGCCGCAGCTGATGCACCAAGCCGACCACTCGATGATGGCACCCAGCTCCGATCAGTTCAACTGTGTAGGTGCCTCCCTCCCTACGACATTGATGCTCCGACGAGATGTTAATCCCTTCACCAGGTCACGGCCGTAACTAAAGCCAATGGTGGGTCGGTGGAATACCCCGAGATCGTCGTGTATCGCGACGATGCCATCGTTCCCGTAGGTGTGATACTGTACACGCGTGAGGGATGGGCCCCCAGGAGATGAGCTCCTGCCAGAGGGGGATAAAAGACACGTCGCTTATATAGGTGCTTTCATCACTCTCGATCTAGCTCGATCAAAACATGTATTGAAGTTCACTGTAGGTCTAGCCGTTTGACACGGAACGGTATTGGCATTGTGACTTCTCCTCAGCCCTGTACTACCTATTCCCACTTCACTTTCTATCCAGAGCTGGCGGCCTGTGACAATGCTCAGAAAAATCGAGAGAGCTTAGGTATCACGTCGCATCCCGAAACCGCCCTATCTGCCAACCCCCCAGTAGTATCTATCAAAAGAGAGCAAGACAAAGAGCAATACGTCACAGGACCTTTCTCTCGAAAATTTAGGGAAACGGTACTCAGTAGCGGTCCCAATGGTGGCAGATCAAGATCCGGAAGCCTGGCCGCCAACAGAGCTAGTCGCTCTCACCATCAACAAAGTCATTATATGTGTCGTCTCCGACCATATGCCAGCGGAACGTAACTCTATGCCAGGGATCTCCGTGAAGTACCCCCGGGCTAACTTCAAGAATGTTGAGCTCATCACTGTAATCAGAGCTAAAATATCGTAGAACCCGATGAACACTCCCTGCTCAACTGTCTGACCGGCAGTCTGATCTTCCGCCATCCCGCTTGAAATGCCACTCGGGGTGTCTCCTCTAACCCCAATACCACCCGCGGTATTCACTGAAGCGCCTTACCCGCCGGGCACTGAGTGTTGGGGCACTTCCTCAGCTTTGGTGGGATTCCCAACGACTTTGACAGCGGAGACGATGTACATCGTGTAGTTTATCAGGTTAGCAACCGTTTTCTGACCCAGATTGACATAGATTATAGGGTTTCTGGGCTTCTTGTGCCATTGTAATACTGTACCTTGATGTCATGCATCTGCGGTTCAGAACTGTCATGATAATTGATACCGTATTGTTGTTATTGCCATCCAGTTGGAAGGATTTCAGTAATTTGGCAGATGGCCGCCCACTAAAAGACGCGCCTGACCTTTTTTCTATGAACATAGCCTTGTTCAATATGGCTTCGGACTTCCGGGAGCTTGATTTTGGAGTACGGCTTTCCAGACCCGAGTACGAGTAGAGTTTCTGTTGGTAGACGGGGATGTTTGATGGCTGTTCCAATGGGAATCTCGCCTCCGTAGATACACCGCAAGTTACCGAATGTTTCAAACCAGTACCTTAACTTAGGCATTTTCGTAGATCAACTCTCAAGCCACGGCCTGGGTCCTTGATGGTTGCTCTGGTATGACTGGCTGAATATACTCTGAAGTGGAAATGCTGTCACGTTCAACATGTCAATGCGAGTCACGGAAGGTTGATCGAAGCTTTATATGAGAAAATCAAGCCCGTTATCTGCTTTTATCGTCTCTGTTCATCATCTCTGTGGTCAACACAAGCTATGTTGTTCACAGGTCGGGCGCGAACATACACATAATTCATGAAAATGCCTTCCTTTTCTAGTCTATCGAGTCTTTAAACTAAATCATATCATGCAAAATCCCCAATGTTTCGAGTGTCAAGTTAAATTATTCGCTGACGCAAGACCAAGTAAGATAAGACATAATTTAGATGGCCAATACCTTGGCTGTATCATTTGATTCTATACTGTAGCTGATAAGATCTCATCGCCTTTCCAGTATTGATCAGGTGAAAATTTCAAGATCGATTCATCCGCGACAGTCTCCAGCTCGACGCTGTTGAGTTGACACCGTCCTGAACAGCCATCCAGACTAACATCCCATCATTGAAATCAGCCACCAAGTCGTAATTTCGTCTTGAGAACACCATTGAGGGCCTCTTAGACTCCAACTCTCTAATTTCAGGAACCGCTTTGGTCATCATGGGCGCATGGGCTTTCCAGCTCGTAAGTTCATGGATTTTTTCTTAGCAACTGGTGGCTTCCTAATGTCCGAGGTAGATGGCCGGTCCAAGAGATACTGAAAGGCTCATCGTTGGAGTCATGCCGTGGCATCACATCGTTTCTATGATTCTTTTCGCATCTCAAACAAGTTGACATCTTGATCTCCTGACTTACCAGATGCAAGATATTGAGATTTATCAAATGCATTACTTCTTTAAAAGACCGATTATGGCAAATCCATGTTTTTCGTGAGCTCTGTGTAGTTTGACAGTCAAAAGAGAAGATAATGAGATCCGTAAGAGCTAATCCATGTTTCGCTCCAACCGATGCCGACTGAGAATCGTTGGAATATCTTGCCGGTACGTAAAGAAGTGGTTCTCATAATCCCACTCACAGGCAGAATTGCTCATTCTAAATTACAACCATCAGGCTTCCAGCCAGTCTTCTCATTAGTCTGCGCCTATCAACTCCAGTAACACCAACACCACATCATCACAACCCAAGAACACAAACCACCAAACCAACAATAACCACCACCCGCGGCCTCACCAGACCCGCCGCCCCCCCTTCCCTCCTCCCCACGGAACCCTCATACTGGCCCTCCACGTTCCCCCGCGGCCAGTACTCGCACGCCAGATACCACCCGCTCCCCCCGCACAGCCTGCGCGCGCACCCCACGTCCGTCGTGTTCCCCCAGACCAGCTGCGTGAAGTGGCCCGTCGCCTCATCAAAGCCCTGCCGCGCGAAATCATACTCGTCCCGCTCGTCCCCCCAGGCCTCGACGCTCGCCGTGGCGTTGGGGTACCCCATGGCCAGGTTCTCGCCGTAGGGGCCCCCCGAGTGCTCGAAGACGCAGTCCCCGCCGTCGAGGTAGTCGTCGGCGAAGGAGGCGAGGGTGCCGTTCCAGGCCACGTCCGCCGCGCCGTGCTGGGAGCGGTACGTGTTGGTGCTGTTGAGCACGGCGGACGTGAAGCGGTCGGTGTCCCGCCACTCGGGCTCATCGGAGGGGATTGGCGCGGCGACGGTGACGGTGACCACCTGCTGGGGCTGTGAGAGCGCCGGGTGCGAGAGGTGGCAGACGGTCAGGTAGAAATGGAGAAGTTTCATGATGCAAAGCCCTTGATTAGGTGATTAAGCTAGCTGTTATGTACATCTGATATATGGCCATCCCGTGTTGGAGGAGGCGGAGCTGAAGAGTATGCAGACGGCATTGTCTTTGTTCCCTCCGCTCTTTGTCCAATTCCATCGCTGAGGTCAATCGTGCAGGTTTTCTGGCGCCGGAATCTTGTTTGATAGGCAATCATGGCTGTCTTGGCAGCGCTCGTCGGGCGCTTCGAATGACGTAGCATCAGCAGGCATAGAGATATTTATTTATATATACATGGATGTGCTCGTGGGCCGGGCGCGTAGCAAGAGCGCAGAGCAGCCAATTGATCAAGCAAGGTCGGTCATTAACGAATGCCATGTTCATAACAGAGAATTGAAGCCGATGGCGCACGTAGATGGAAAATAGTGCGTGTCGTCTTAGTACAGCAGAAATGAGTCGACCGCCGCGTCCATCTACTGACTTAGCTACATCAGCTCAAGACCAAGAGAACTGACTCAGTTCAACCACCTCCCTCAATTGACTCGAGTCGACTCGTCCTAGCTCGGCCAGCTGACACGCCTGCCTCGGCTCGCAAAAGTACATTTACATGCCGCATCGCGCACGCAGACACAGTCGGTCTAGTGTGGGAGAGGCCCTCGCAGGTCAGGAGAAAGCATGTCGCCATCCTCGACAAGCCACGTCAACAGCGGATGGGAATTCCAACGCCGCGATTCTAGACCCTGCGAGCCTTTCACACACGCGCCCGCTGGCTCGCCCTCAAGGACAGGGCTGCCCTCGCGAGTCAACGTACCTACCCCGGATTTGTCAGTCATGTGTCTGAGGGAGGGCGGGTGGTTCCCCCAACAGGACCCGGGCTACTCTGCCGATCGGATTACCCTTCTCTCTCTCTCGGTGTCTCCTGTCTCTCTCGCTCTGGCAGTCATCTCTGGGCCGAGGGATGGCTTGGAGGAACGCCAAGTGTTGGTTGGTGTCTCTCGATCCAATCCACCCCGTCAGTTCCGCCGCAGCCCGCTAATATCCGCCTTTGTGCCCGGATAAGCCGCTGCTCTTAGGTCGTGCTGCTAAGTCCACGATGCGCGTCGACGCTCTCCATATGCCCCAGGCCGTATTTGGAACATCCTGCAGAAGACCAGCGGACACGATGCTCTTCTCCCCCAGATGATGGAACCTCACTCGCAGCGTTCCAATCCTACCCCATATGCACCAGGGCGATTAAGGGTTGGCCGACCAGGTCGTCAAACGGGCCACCACCACACCTCCCCCAGCATCAACGGTCGACCGTGAAGCTCATCACAGGGGATGGGTCCCGCCCCCATCCCCAAGGACCGCCTGGGCCAAACACTACGCTGACCCACGGGGCGGAACCCCGGGCGAAGGACTGGGTTGGTGTAGTGGGAGGCGAGATGAGAGGCTCGCGCGGTGTTTGCTTAGTTCTGCTGCTAGCTTGTTCAAGGGGATGTGCAAGCCTGCAGCCTGCCATCCACGACACACAGTACGGACTCGAGGCGACATGGGAATAATCTGGGGAAACAGGGGACCCTTTCTAACTTTTTTTTTTCTTCCCTTCCCATGATTCCCCAATGACGCTTGTGTGTGGTAGGTGCACCGACCGGTTCCTTAGTTTCAGGAACCTCGGACGACGATCTTTTGCCAGTGCGCCCGTTGCTTCATCCAGCCGGGCGTTCATTCGAGGGACAGAGTTCGTCGTCCCAGTGGCTGGTGGTCAACGACATTCCCTCAACCAGGGCCTACCCTGGACTTGGAGCCCCAAGAAGATGAATTAATAATATCAGGCCTTGCATACGATGTAGTATTCCTCTGCTCGGCCTGCCTTTGTCCTGGCTTGTAGCTTGACCCGATATCTCCATTTCCGGGCTATGCTTACTGCAGAATTAGTACTGTGTGTGCGGCAGGCAGGTCAATTGGCCGAGTTTCAAGTCTTAGTCCGCATGCACCTCTCTCCAGCAGCGGAAAGAGGCGATCCCATGCACGAATTGCCCGCTGCACAATGGCATACATAACCTGCACTGCACTACGCGTGCACGAGCTGCTGCGTGCTATGTAGACCGTGCCCCTGTGGATTGATAAGCAAACACAAATAGCAGAAGTTACATCTGCTAGATACATACAATCGTTGTGCAGTGGTTCGACGCCTGGGACTGGCCGTTGGCGGATAAGATAAGCAGCATCGAGTCGAGTGTGAGTCACACTCTCGAGTGACCTCTGCGTTAGTACCTCAGCAGCTGGACCCTCCTCGGATCGGATCCGTCGCAGGGGCCACACACAAGTGAGCATGTCCAGCATGTCCAGCACAGTGCTGCCAACCTGCCGGCCCACACAGTCCGGTACCGCAACCCCCGTACACTGTCTGTACCTCCGAGCAAGGCACCCTGTCCAGCGGCCCATTAGTTGGGAGCTGGAAGGCAGCAGCTTGCTTTGGCCTCAGCGCTGCTGCAGGAGGATGATGAAGATCATCGCCTCGCCACTGCTCCATTGTCCATCTCGGCGCCGAAGCCGTAGCTGTTCATGCCGTGGCCGTTACACTGCCACTCCCGCGCATCACGAGCGAACCGCAACAACCGGTCAATGGCAGCGCTCGCCTATCACCATTATCGCAACCACCATGCCCCAAGCTCGAACCCTTCGTCAATGCGGCTAAGCAGACAGACCTAAGATACTCAGATCAGATCCGGTGGAGTTGGTCTTTCCTGACAGGTCCACCCGAGCGTTGGCGCTTGTAGCGGAACCCCGTTGGGTCAGATGGTCCCCCATATCAGTCTCATCCTGGCTGCTTTCCTCTCCCAGTTCGTTCCCACCCGGAAGCGCTAGCTGTCCAACAATCGTACAGCCTAATACGGTTAATTTCCAGGGTGAGATTAGCATCGAGCTTGCAATCGACAAGTCGTGGCGCCATCAATAGCCACTGCTCCATGGCACGCCGTAATAATTGAGTTTGATATGGGCAGTTCCTAGCATGCACGCCTCGTCTGCTGATATCCCATCCATGCATACTTCGGGGGCCATATTCCCGAGCGAGCCGTGGCCATGTCTAAGTTCCAACATGCAGAGGAATGAACTTTGTCTAGGTGAACGATCCAGCCTATGGACCCATTGGTCCTGGATCATCATCCGGGACCCGTGCGGCCCAGGAAGCCATCGTAAGTAATAACCCGAGGGAATGACGGCAGGGCATGACAATTGCCCCCTCTAGCGCTCTTTAGCGCTCCGCGTATTCCACCCATCCCAAGTATAATGGAATGGGGTTTGAACAAGAATGTGTAGGTAGGTCTTCATCCGATGCGAAATATTAGATGGGAGAAAGCATCACCCTGTGCGAGGAGCCAGACGAGGTAGCAGAATCCTCCGGGCGGTCAACTGATACCAGCACACTGGTTGATGTGCAAGCTACCGCAGCCTTGGGTAACAACGTAGAACATCCGGGGTCCAGTGCCCGTTCCCTTGGGTAGATTCCGGTTCTGATAAGCATCTCAGAAATCCTCCAGGAAATTAGACTCTGGCGATTGGCCAATCGGCAGGGCACCACATGTGGCGCCACCAACGTCGCCGTTGAGACGGTTAGCTTTGTGATGTGAGACGAGACAGATTCCCCTCGGGACCCAGAAACGGGCAAGCATTCCCAACCCGAATCGATCACAACATCGATCCAATTAATGACCAATCTTCCCAGGGCACCTAAAACAAAGAGAAAGTATGGAAAATGAGAAGAAAGGGAAGAAAGAAAGAGGAAAAGGGAAAAGAAAAAAAGAAATAAAAAAAGAAATAAAGAAAGAAAGAAGGAGGAGCAGGCACTAACAGCCGAAAGAAAACCGAGACTGTCAGCTGGTTGACCTGATAAGAGCGATGCCATGCATCTATATCACGAATGTTCATTCACCACTGGCATATGTAGCTGCTTTGCGCTACCCCTACTCCTTTTGGAATGTATCCTCCCGACTTTTTTCGGGCATTGTGCGAAACATGGTGCTGGAGGGCGAGATGACCAGCCATCGGTTGTCATTGACCATGATGAGACAGTGATTGACGTCCCACTTACCATCGTGAGATTGGAGATTAGACAAAAATTTGAGAAAGATCAATCTCCTATCTTGTTGATGACGACGATGCTGAAGCTCGACTATATAAACGAGTTGGATTTTCCAGTTCTGTGAGAAAAGAATCAGCATCACACTCTCTCAGCTCTCAGCCTCATATCCTCACAACCCTCTCATTAGCAAGCAGTATACTCTCCATACCTGCCCACCATGAAGTTTTCTAGCATCTACACCATCGCGTCTCTTGCCGCTGTCGGCATGGCAGCCCCTGCCATCGTTCGTCGCGAGGATTCGGCTGCTGCAGAGCTGGTTAACAGTGCCGAGTCGCTGGATGGTGCCATCAACACCTTGGGCGGACAGTCGACCACGGCATCCGAGGCGGCCGCTCCTGCCAGCGGCAATGCTGCCTCCCCATTCGTCATCACCATATCCGCCACCATCAACAGCCTGGAAAGGAGCAACTACGACAAGCTGACCTCCGTTAGTAAGTCCAGTCTCCGCCTCGTTCTTTTCCAAGCTCTCCCGCGCTGACCAGATCACTAGACAACGTTATCAGGGGCATCTTCAAAGTGACCGACGCCAATAGAGTTGCTGGCGCCCAGTCTGCCCTCACCACCACCTTCTCAAACCTGTACCAGGACATTCAGTCTGCCTCCAACATTCTTGCTCGCGCCACCGTTCTTGTACCCGCAAACCTCCAGCAGTCCGACATCCAGTCGCTCACAACCTCCATCTATGCCGCCCAGCGTATCATTGCCCGAACGCAGCAGGTGCTGGCCAACGCCAACCAATTCCTCTCTCCCAGCATCCTGAAGAACCTCCAGCCTCAGATCCAGGCCATCAAGAGCAGCGTTCAGGGTCTCACCGACCCCCTGATCTACTTCGCTAGCAACATCGTTGATGTCGTGCCTACCCTCAACTTGACTACTCTGCTCGCCTCAACCCAG